GTTTCTGAATGCTGGGAATCATCCTGTAAAACGACATCTTTCAGAAGCTGAGCTACAGCGGGGGAAATAAGTATTTGAGCCCTTGCTGATTCTGCAGGTTTGCCCACTTACAAAGAATGCTTATTTTTCCTCATCAGATGGTTATCAATTTTTATAAATTCATATGATGTGATTTTCTGGAATTTTCTTTGGGATTCTGTCTTTCACTGTTAGAATGTACATATGATTAAAGTTATAGATCGTTGCATTCTTTGTAAGTGGGAAAACCTGCAAAATCAGCAAGGGCTCAAATACTTATTTCCCCCACTGTGTATCTGAATCTATTCCAACCAAAAAAAATGTGCTCCCAGGGTTCCTGTCACTTTTTCTGGACATTTTCAGTCCAGAGGTGAATAAAGAAGTTAGCACAGAGTCTCCGGCACCATTCAAGCCATCGTGGAAATGAACAAATATTAAAAGTGAGATTTTAGGCGAATACTTGCCTGTTCCTCTGTGACCTCGTGTGTTTCATCCTGGCAGCCGCTGCCACTCAAAGCCAACATTTCCTGTCAGACAGAGAAAAGTTTATTAGCCAAACAGCAACTAACAACCTAAACCGAAGACGTCTGGGAACCTTTTGCTGTTACACTTACTTCGGTGTCATATAAAACACAATTAGCTCTGTTAAATTACAAGGAACAGAGCTTCACATGTTTATTTTGACGCATTTCCTGATCGGGGGATCACGGAAAAAATCAAGCATGAATGACTCAATAAAATTCCTTTATCAAGAAACTTATCTTCCTTTTCTCCCTCCCTTCCATGGAATAACATAAAACAGCTAATTGTCACAGACCAAATACCAACATTTAAACAGCACAGTTCTGAAGGATTCAGGAATGAGTCATTAGATCATCGGTTAACCGATTAATTCTGCCTAAACCTCGTTGAAGGGGCTTTAAAAAGTGGTTTACATGTCAGAACGAAAACTCTTGGATGAGAAATTGTGTCTCAGTAAACAAAGTATGCAGATTTAATTGCCACTAAAGATAAGATCAGGTCGTTTTAAGTATCTCTGAAAAAAAGCTTTAGGCATTTGATCTCCATATCCCACAAAATATTACTACCTATATTGGTCTTTATGTGACTTTCATTTTCAAACAATTTATTAAGCTGAGGTTATGACTTTGTTTCCATTTGATATCCAGCCAAAGAGAATTATGGTTGTTTCACAACTGATGACAGATTCCCAGGATGAAACAGTTAAAGTGGTTTAGAAAAATACATTTCACGGCAGCTTAACGACCTCGAATGAATTTTAAAAACGGCTTATTTGTTTTCAAGCATCTGATGCTATGATGCTGTTTTTCTGCTGCTTTACAATATCTCCATGAGAGATTCATTTACATAACCTATCTCCAAATGGTGAGTTTATTCTAGAAAAATATACAGGACTGTCTCAGAAAATTAGAATATTGTGAAAAATTTCTTTATTTTCTGTAATGCAATTAAAAATCATGAAATAGCTGATTATGGCGTACAGCTGAAGAAAACTCAAAAATCTGATATTCTAATATTTTGAGATAGGATATTTGGGTTTCTTAAGCTGTAAGCCATAATCAGCGATATTAAAACAATAAAAGGCTTATGATATTTCAGTTGATTTGTAATGAATCCAGAATGTATGACATTTCATGTTTTTAATTGTATTATAGAAAATAAAGAACTTTATCACCATATTCTAATTTTCTAAGACAGTCCTGTAACTAGAATTTCACTCATCACAAGTTTTTTCCATTTGCTCGTTACCGTTTGACCCTGTAATGGATACAGCCCACCTCACAAACTGGTATCTGGGGAAGTTTGGAACTGTCCCGAGACCCCGATTTGATGTAAACGTTTATATAAAATGAAAGGATGCAAAGGTCATGAAAGCATAAAGCAAATAGCAGCACTGGAAAATCAACTTTTGATTATTTTGATTAAATGTCACTTGTGTGGAGTTTGTTTATATATTAATATAATATATAAAGTAATATATAGAGTAATAACATAACATAACATTTATATAAACTCATATCCATGATATATATATTTATTTTATTGTTCTTTTCCATGCATCTATTGTCCATACTTCTCATTCCTAAGGATGCGAGTCATTTATGTGATAAAATATCTACATATATATTTAAAACAGAAAATGTACACAGCTAAACACAAAAGGGCTTCACATTCAATTTAGTCAGAGTTCCAGCTTTCAGCCTCTTTTTAAAAATAGTAATGCACAGTTCATAATATATACACAAAAGCTCTCGTTTATGTAAAAGCCATTTGTGAGTTCCGTTTCTTTTGTCGGACCGTGAACACATCCTGGACACTTTCCTCACACTGAGAAAATCAGAATTCATTTTTTAATGCAGAATCCGACAAAAACATTACTGAAGTTAGTGAAATACGCCTTATTTGCTCTGACATTGGGCTAAACGTGCAGCTTCAACGGTCTACTACAGAAAAGTAGGACCAGAAAATGAGTTTACTGAAGTTTACTCACAGAGTCCGCAGCCCCGGACATAAACTCAATAAAACCCCTCCTGTTTTTGGACGTGATGAAATTCTCCGTAACTGGATTGCAACATGCACATCCTGCACGGGAAAAATTACAACCAACAGTGACCTAGATTTACCAGGACGGGCAGCATTTCTGCAACCCTGTTTTTAAATGGAAGCAAAACCCCACGTTAAAGATCACAGCCGCACGGCTAAAGAGCTAAATAGCTAACAGGTGTTGACCAGGGTCCATAAAACAGTTTCATAAGTTGATTCCCATTACCAAAACACTGCATTTAGTAGTTTAAACTCCCAGTTACCCTGCTACTGCCTTGGTTTAGTTTGATTAAAGGGTTTGTTATCTCTCCAAAGCTGATAGTAGCCTTTAGCTAATAGCAGCGGCTAACCTGCAGCCGTTAGCATGAAAACATTTCGTTATGCAGACTTTAAACGGATTTAAATACACATGGTATTTAAATACTACTTACCACGGTTTTAATGGCTTTAAAACAGCAAAACAACACCAACAAAAAGAAAGTTGGCTAGTAGTCGACGCTAACGTTACGTCATCAGTGTGCGACGTCCAAATTGACGTCATCAGAGCGTCAATCAACCAGCTGATGTAGAGGGACCACAGGAACACAGTACTATAAATACTATTCTACAGGATATGTATATATATATATATATA